AATTTTCATGCAATTTAAGTCCATCTGTTTTTTTCTTAATCCCCGTGGGCCTGGAAAGCAGCTTTCTAGAGCAGCTGTTTGTGTACTGAGGATGGTTTCTTCTCAGTCTTCTACCCCACACATATTCCTGTCTAACAAACGTCACTTTCTTCTGTGTGCAGTATCAACCATTTTCTTCATGTTTTTCTCCCATGAACAGCCTTTTTCCCTCTCTTTAACACATATATGTTTCCCAGGGCTTCTCCTTTCACCTCCCTTTCTTCCTTTCCCCCATACTTTCTGGTTTTGATTCCAACATGTCTGTACCTCCTTGTTCCTAAAAATTCATTCCCAATCTTTCTGACAATGCCTACTCTGCTGTATATCATTGGCGCATGTGGAGGCTGCTTGCAATCTATGCCAGGAATGTGTTGTCTTGGGATGGTAGGAATGCACGGAAGCCATCCCCTGTGATGTAAATGTCTTTCAATTACCTTCTCTTTGCAAATGTCTTTTTTAGTCCTAGCCCCTGTGAAATGCTGCTGGTGCTCTTCTGCCTTCACTGTTTCCATGGTAGCTGATCCCATCCTTTCGTGACTTTCTCATCAGTGGCCTAAACAAGATCTGGAACTGTCATAATTACATGGAAGGCAGTTTACAGTATTTTTGAAGACTGGGTGGTATTACATGATAAAAGCACTTTGAAGCTAAAATGGGAGAAGTAATTAAGCACCATTACCTTAAATGCTGATACTTTGAGAGGTATTCTGTGGAACATGCCCTGAATATAGTAAAATTCCAATGTTAAATAAAGTTAATGACACTGTTCCAGAACTACAGAACGTAATGGTTTAATTAACCCAGAGTTACGGCAGCCTGATTTTAACCAACTCCCTCTACCCTCATCCCCTTCCTTAAAAGCACTCCAGGTTCAAGCATTTCATCTGGGAGTCTCTGGAATCTGATCTGGATCTGGATTCTGACTAAAATCCCCCCATTGGAGCCTGTAGCTCCAATGGCTAATTTGAACCCCAGATCTTAATGCTTTCAACCTTTGGCATCTTTGTATGCCAGATTTAACATTTTTATAGGCCACAGTTTTCAGTGTAATATCCAATAAAATATCTTTAAATAGTAACTATGAGGTGTTCAGGAGCTGGAAAATTTTTAAACTTAGGTCATTAAGTGTAGACTAAGAAATTTAAATATAGGCAGCCATTTTCAACACCCCTGGTCAAGATCTGTCTTTTGTGGTCTAATACAGTGTCTCTGTCAAGCTGCTATTCAGTGAACCAGAGTCTGGAAAGCTGAGAAAGACACGTCTCTCTCTCAAATTAATGTATTGGTCTCAAAGGAATTCAGGTACTGTCATGGATTAACATACATGTTATTGTGAAAGACAACACCTGGTATTCTACTCTTTGACTATATTCTGTATTTTCTTCCAATTTGGATAAATCAACACTAAAAACAAGCAGTGTTCAAAAACTATGGCTTAAAGCCCATGATTCACCTCTGTCATTTATTGCTCTTTACTTAATCAGCATTGAAGCCATATATGAACATAAAATCTAGTCCTCATTTAAATGTATGTGCCCCAATGTCCATAGAGCTGTCTGATTAATTGGCATAAGACATGGAGGAAGACGTGTGAAAGCTCAGGCAGATAAGCACCCCCAAATTTCCAATAGAGGATGTATTTTATTCTGTCCAACAATCCACGTTTCTATACCAAGTCCATAAATCTTCATACCGCACTGTCCCAGTAAACAACAACCCTCAACAGGACTCCTTCTGATTTGAAAATCAGCTTCAGCTGTATGTTCACTCTTTCTCACAATCTTAATGTGGACATTTGTAGTGAAGTCCTTAACCCAGCTGATACCAGTTTTTTTCTCAACGATGACAGCATTACTTTGGTTTCTATGAATTACAAAGAGCTATTAGAAATACCTGTGTATAGCATGATTTTCAGTCCTTTTCCTTTCAGTTCCCATATATTGTATTTATATCACTGTCCTGACACTGGAGACAGTGTGAGTAGATTAGAAATTATAATACAGTTGCATAAAGCAGCATTGATAGTATGCAGATGATGGACCAAATGAAAACTGTGATGTGACATATGCAATTCAGTGTAGGACAATCTGCAGGAGAGATGAGTTCCATAGCCACGGAGAACTAAACTCCCAACTTAAACAAGTGCCACACAGAAAACACGAGTCCCTGGAGTGAGTGGCTGAAGTGTGGGGGCAATGGCCATGTGAAGGGAAAAGGCAACTAAGTTGAATTTGCCAGAGTTGGGGGGTGGGTGACCAGTGAAGGATAGAAGATAATTTAAAAACTAGTGGAAGCACAGGAAAAACCCCCAAAACTAAAACGACTTCAAGGGTGATAGGGAAAATCCCATTATTTTCCATTACTGAGAAAAATGCAGAATGTCCCCTCCTGGAGAAACGCCGATGTAGTGCTGTTTGCACCTATAACCTCCTAGATAACCACTCCTAAGTGATTGTGGAAAACATTAGCTGACGCAAGCACATAGTGACACGATGAAATTTAGATTATCAGGTCAAAAGAAGCTGTCTGTTCCCTGTTCCTCCTGGTCCCTCCTTTCTAGCAAATTAAAGGAGTAAACATGAGAGACTTAAACAAATTCTGTTACCATCTCCTTTTTTGCTATTGGTTTTATGGGGGTGAAGGATTTGTTCAGCTGCTACAGTGATGGTCACAACATAAACTGTTTAGATAAATGTTTTTTTTGTTGTTTTTCTTTTCCTTCTACCTTAAAATCCATTGACATTATAGACAGTTTTTCTTACAGATGTTGTGAATGGAAATTATATTTTCCTCCTACAATGATAGGAGGTGTAAGGTCTCTTAGTTTGTAGCTTCTGTGTCCAGTAGGAAAAAGATGGAGATGGATACTGTAGATGGCTCAGCTACAGCATGTTGGCATACACAGCTTCTTGCTCAGACTTAACATAATTTCTATTTTTTCCTGTTTCTGTGAATATTAAATGAGAGGATGAGAAGATTACTTCATTTGAAAGGCTTATTTAATCTCCTTTCTCTTCATTTGCTTTGTTTACTGAATTACATTTCCATAGGAGAATGGTCTGGAGAACTGTCTCCCCTGACTAAATGGTTCAAATGAGCTATGAGTAAAACCATTTAGATACAATTCACAACCATGTTTTATTAATAACAACCAAGAATGTTACTGTGGCTCAGTATGTGGTGAATTTTTTTTATCGTTGCAGCTGCATTATTGTCAGAATCTTTTAATATCGTGCAACTGTATTTTAACAGAGCTTTTAACATATATGTAATCACAGAACATGTCATTAAAGTTATGTAAATAACTATTTTGAGATTTTTTAATTAAGCACTCATAAGGAGTTTACTTCTTTTAAAGTCAGCACTAGGTTGCATTAGTGATTATTTTAACATACATCTGTATCTGACAGGCAAACTGTTGTCATATGCCACAGAATTTCTGCTCTCAAACTGAACCCCTCCTTTTGGAAAGCAATCCAAATGGTTCCTCACTCTTTGTGTTCCTTATTGCTTTTCTGATGGGAAAGCAAAGTAAGGGTATATATATATATATATGTATAAGGGTATATATACTAAGAAAGGACTAGATGTACTAAAAAGCTGTAACAGCCAATTTTATTTTCTTCAGCCTTTACCACGCCAACATCATTAATTTGCTGTTTGTCTTTGAACACTGTAATATGTGGTTTATCAGAAAAATGAGGTGCCCACAAACCAGATCTGAAATTCAAAGGTGAGGCATCTGTGGGCAAACACCTAACCATGCCAGCAGAAACTACTTTGCCTGAGAAAAGCTTTCCTTGCATTGAAGAGGGGCAAAATTGCCCATGCTGGAGCAAATCTTGGACCATTAACTCACACTGTGTGTCCATGGGGTTTTTTTTCCCCCTTTAGGCCTAGCAGATGCATTCCCACGTAAACCCCATCTGTAAGTTTACAACTGATGTAAACCACTGGTAAAAGCATCTTGGATGGGAAGTGACCATCTGCTGGTTATGAAAACCTTTTTTTCCCTTCTATTTCTGTGCAAATCCTTTGCATGCTGCTGTTATGATTTTTATATGCCTGAGTATATTATCACATTCATAGACCTTAAGAAATATTTCTGTACACTTTATTTTCATTATTGAACATGTTATACAATATGGATCACAAAACATCAGAGAAGAGTTGTCGTTAAAATTTCTTGGCATTATAGTTATTGATGTTAATTTTTCTTGAGAATGTATTTTTCTCTACTTGAAGGGAGCAGGTTTTTGTGGGGAAAATACCAATTCTTAAAGTTAAGCTTCATGCTGGTAGAATTATTTTAAAGAACAAGACAATAACAACTACTTCCTAAAAATAAGCTTCCATTAAATAGGAACTACTAATAAAACTAGCTCTCCTCTTCAACTAAACATTAAGATTTCAGTACAGCTGGCTAGTAGTTTGGAACTGGAATCACAGCAAATACAATTCTCAGCTGACTGAGCAGTTCAGCAAATGTGGTGGCTTTAACACAGTTGTAATGTCAAATTTTCTCTGTGTAGAGCATTAACTCACAAACCTCATGTTAATGAGCCTATAAAGACCTTGACGAGGAATGAAATCTAAAAAGTTAATTCACTTACAAGAAGGGCTGTTAATGGACCAGTCACTTACTGATTGAAACAAAATTGATTAACCATCCTTGTAGTGGGAGTATAATTTAAGATACTAAATTTATAAAGATACAAAATTCCTGTATCAGAAGATGAAAGAAGACACAAAAGGAAGCTTGACTTTTTATTATTTATTTTTAATTGTTTCCCAGAATCATTTTGTTGAAAACAGTAACTCACAATGATTTCAAAGGGACCACAATTTTAACCATTTTCCTGCTTCACTCCTCGTTTATTCAATTTGTTAGAAAAATTGCTTCCAGAGAGTGAACAAAGTAATTCACAAACAGGAAAAAGTAGTCTGAAACTCTATAAATAACCAACTTAATTTTATTTGAGCAAATACAGTTATGAAAACTGTACATTGTACATTTTGGGTCAAGAATTATAAATAGAGAAACTCATAGATAAAGAGTTCATTCTTTGACAGCAAGAAACTTTAAATAGACAAAATGACATTATTAAGTACATTGGCAGGCTTCGCTGTGCTGTCCAAAATGTAGTGTACAGTATAACAACCAATTATAAATAGCCTTTCATGTAAAATACAGCTGTGCACATTTTAGAAAAATACCAACAATTTGTTTGAGCTTTGTTTTAAAAAAGCTTATAAATCATACATATTTATAAATGGTACTAACATGCTTACTTAAATTTATAAACATTTTTCATAAGCTTTGTTACCCATTATTTCCAGAGCATAAAGTATTTTAAATAAACATTTAATAGGAATTAAATATGTCAGTTACAAAATTACCTCTCCCATTTAAGGAGACGGGGGGTGATTTCACTGTGGGATGGAACATTTCATCCATTGAGTCAAGGCTTACAGAGTAACTTTTAAGGTTTTGTTCTTATTTAAAAATTACTTTCCTAAATTTAAAACACAATTTAAACTTTTTTGTCTGTTTGTTTTTAAAAAATAAATATACAAGTTTTATTTTCATTTGCTCTCTTTCTGCTTTCTTCTTTATCCACACTGGTCAAAACACAGGATTCTCAACATACTTCTGTAAAAAACACCATGGTGTTACTGCCCTGCTTGGAGTTGCTTCGCTGCACAATATTCAGTCCATACCTACGGTACTTTAATATGCTGCATCAAAAAATAGCCAATGTATTTTGCAAGAATGTTGCCCATTAAACCATGCAAAAAACTTAGAAAGTTTACAAACAGGTTCAAAAACTCTACTGTATGAAAGATTTTTCTAAGAGAGATAAAATAAACCATAATACAAGCCCTTTGCTTTATGCAGCTTGAAATGAAAATGGTTACTTGCCAAATGATCACACCACATACCTCCAGTAAATAAGCATGCGTTTGGTTAATATAGGGTACAGTAAGTACAGTATAATGGCACAGAAAAAGAAACATGATCACATTGTTTGAACAAAGGGCTATGAAACTACTTAAGACAAACTTTCCAAATGAAAAATTGTGAGGCTTTTTTTAATGCTGAGGTAAAATTATAAATGGACTTTAAAGACACTGAAGGCATCAAATCGATAAACAGTCACTTAACACTTTGAAACGCTCTACCTGAATGTATTCAACACAAATCCAGTATTTCAAAATTATGATGATTTATTATGAGCATTAGCTAGCTTAGCTGTCATTGGCATCAATGTGCACTCAGACAAGACTTTATTTTAACCTCTGGCAAAATACCTCAGTGTTGAAACATAATAATTCAAATCACCAATTACCACAGCACCAGAGTTAAAAAAAAAAAGAAAAAAAAAAGAAAAAAGTCAACATGCAAACCCTGTATCTCATCTTTTTGGCTTATTCGGATATTCCTCCTCCTGTTTAGAATGTGCTGATACCAACATAAGAATCTTTTAGTACTTACTATTCTTTTATTATGAAAAAGTTTGCTTGCAATTGGCTAAGTGCTTGAGCACTTTTAGGAAGATATCAGTATCTTTACATTTTTCAGTCATGGTATATTATTTACTAAACCTTAAAGCAAAATGACTCTTCAGGTTTAGGAAAATGGGTTTAAGAATTTTATCTTCAGACTAGGAAAAGATATTTGATTTTCTGCTTCTGCTGCTAGGCCGAACTGGTAGCTTTCTCCAGGCTGGACTAAACACTATGTTATGGCTATACATCAAATTTCATAAACAACAAATTAACAGAATCATGCACAGGCAAATGAAATTCGATCTCCCAGAACACTGCAGGAGATGTTAAAAGCAGCAGGTAATGGAATAAGACTGGTGACTGATGCTGCTAACTATTTCTTCTAATGAGATAGGAGTGAACGCTGGAATCACTTCCACAGCAACAGAATCCTCTGACCACATTCCTCTGGCAGTCGTTTTCCCATCTCCCCACTAAAAACATCAGACGGTAAAATAGTAAGGCAGCTGTTAGCTTCCATCAACAAAAAGTGCAGCTCCGTACATTTCCAGTTTAGTCACACTCTGCTGGAACAGATGGAGAAGCCAACGCACTTCACTGGCAGGGCTGCTTCAGCAGATTATTTTGTTTGTTTTCCAACATGGCTGCTTGCTTCAGCTTTCAGAGGACCCCAAAGCCACGAGCCATCAGCAGAGAAACTGAGCTGGGCCCCTGGCTGAATTTTCCAAGTTTCATCTCTCTTGCGTCCCATCCTAATTCCAAGCCTCCTTCCCTGTGTCTGACAGGTGCCATTTAAAAGGCTGATGACACAACTGCAGAGAACTGTGGGCTAACACCACTAGTTGTCATGACTTCACTGAAGGGTCAAAACAGTTACATTATTAAATAACTATGTTGAATCACATTCAGGCATAGCTAAAATTAAAGTGGGGAACATTAAAAATATGCAAAGAAATTAAATCTTTATCATTTGAGGTGGGGTGGATATGGTGATTTTGTACAAAAACAAGGCCTTTCTTACCTTTCCTAATTCCAATCAAGTTAGAAAATGGACAAAAAGAATGGCTAAACCAATATTCAACAGCATTACCAGGGCGATCATGACTGAGTTAGGGCCCTGAAAATAAAATAAAGATATCAGAATTAATGCAACCTTCCACACTGCACAACAATGAACGTGACACATCTTTACAATTTCTACTGGTTTTGACTTTGCTCTGAAGGATGCAGATCCTGCTCCTGAAACACAGCCACTATCCTTGATATTCAGGTGAGCTAAGTATCATCTGTGTGAAAATGAGCTGGACAAATACAGGTGAGAGTATATTATTACACTGCTCTTAGTCACACTGAGATTAAACCGTCTGACAAAAATGACCAAGTAAACTTATGAAAACAAACCCATCAATACAAAAATAATGTCAGCTTAAAATAAAGCAAAACAAAGAATGTGAACTACTTTGGGGAAGCTGGAGTGCTGCTCTTCGTCCTTGCTGTAGGTTCTTCAATTTTGATCCATTTCAAAACAGACATAACAAATGTGTTTTGTGAAAAGAATACACTCTTTTGGTAACCAAAGGGAAAAAAAAGGTTACTTACCATTTCACCAACATACCTGTTTCCATTGCAGACTAAAACCAATTTTACAGCTGAAAAACTAGATTTGTTTTGATTTACTCAGACACTTATCTTACAGACCTATGTACTGAAGAAATGAAAAGTCAAAAAACTCCTTCCCTTCCTAGCTAGAGCCAAAATTGGTTAGAAAACTTAATCATTACATACTTTTAGTCTTTTTGTGAAGCCATAGAACAAAGGTTTTAATTCTTTTCAGCAATTTTGGATAATTAAAAAAAAATTGACGCTTTCTAATAATCAACTTGAAATAACGCCCCAACTGATGAAAATTCTCAGCTCTTCTGTTCCCCTCCTAACGTATTTGGTTTACCACAATATATTTTCACAAAGATTTGTATACTCTTATATTTTAGGGTTACACTGTAAGTAAAAACAGAGAAACTCTACAAAGACTACCAAAAAATCTGTGCAGGAAACTATCTTCTGAACTATGTAAGAATCACTGGTTTGCATAAGAAATATTTCATTAGAAATGACATAATTTCTTCACTTTTCACATGAGGCATGGCTTGCAGAAATTCATTATACTTCATGACAACATAATCTTAACATCAGCTATATGATTTCTTGAATATTAAGGTGTAAGAACTTGCTATGATTAATTTGCTGCAGCAGTATAACTGGGAAGCTATCAAATAGTACTCATGCCGTTATTCTATCAATTGCTCTCCTTCTGAAACAGCCTCACTGAACACTTTCTACCAGAACACACTTTTACACAGTAGGTCAGATGGCAGACCAGATGTGAACGGCCAAGTGCTTGAGTAAGTCACAAAATATGTTATGTCAAGTACTGCTTAAATATCTGGGGAGCCTAAACCAAATCCGCACCTCTCTATCCATAAAAGCCATAAAGTTCCCTTTGCACCTATTCAGAGGTATCTGAATGGAGGTATCTGAGGAACCAGGTGTTCAAGTTCAAACAATGACTGAGATTATCAGGATACCAGTTAAATGTTGCCATGGGGTAATGGTATTGGCAGCAGCATTCACTTTTTGCTTAATGGCAGGATGTCTAAAATATTCACTAGGAATCTGAAGACCAGGTTTAATGACACCTTAGTCAAAGTGATTTTGAATAAAGAGTTTCCACTTACAGTGGTATGTTTTAACCATCGGGTCAAAGAACAGAAGAGGAACCATGTTTCCCCCTTCTTAGTGGAGGTGAGTCACCGTGTGCCAAAGAATATGAGACACTTGGTGACAGAGAACAGGCATAAATGGACAGCACAGCTCCAGATATGGTTGTGTTTCTGACCACAAAACTGTAAGCAGCCTCGCCGTAGTATTGTATAACTCAAGGTTAGTATCTTCTTTCTCCTTCTGGCACAGTCACAATTGTGCTAGGTTGGGCACTTCTGTGCTTTTCTACTGTGAAGGAAATCCAAATTCTCATCAGGTTTGCCACCAAATGCATTTGGCAATTGCAAGATTTATGTATGAAAGCCATATTGGAAGGCTTTGAGCAATAAAACATGTTTTACTTGAACCAAAAGCTACTTTGAGAATCTCTCAGTTTTGCTGTCTTGGAATGTCAGTGTCAACACCCTTAGGAGTGAAACTTCCATTTATTGACTACTTCTTTTGCAAAAAAATTCCCAGAATCTCATGACAAACAAGAATATTAAATACATGCTAGTATTACAAAGCTCTCTATGGGAAGTGTGATTTCATTACACTACTGATTTCCACCAAGATGTAGATTCAGCATCTTTCAGTGCTGAGACACTGAAACAAGTTGCCCAGAGAAGTCGCTGATGTCTCATCCCTGGAAGTGTTCAAGGCTGGGTTGGATGTGGCTTAGAGCAAACTGGTCTATGGAAGGTGTCCCTGCCCATGGCAGGGGGGGCTGGAACTAGATGATCTTAAGGTCCCTTCCAGTCCAAACCACTTTACGGTTCTATGATCCTATGATTCTAATAGGGATTCCCCATATGATCAAAATCAGGTCAATAGTTCCTTCATAGTTTGGGATCTAACATAAAGATTTTGCACTTACACTGCACCAGGAATTGCAAGGAACTGTGAAGATCATTGGCAATAACCCTTAAAATTCATCCATCTAATACTTTGCATATTTGGAAATAACATCTGTGGAAATCACATTCACTTACTACAATTGAAACAAAAATTTGAAGCTGCGAGGACTTCCCAGGAGCCAGGAACTCATTTGTTACCTGAAATTTATCATGGAACAGCATCCTGGTAGATGCCAAGACAGCAAATTGGGACTGCAACTCAGTAGCATTAGTGCAGCCTTATGGAATTAAGCTTGTCAAAGTGAGAGGGGACTTCTCTATCCATGCATGTCAGTCAGGTTACATATAACAATCTCACCGCAAAAACATTACATAAATTAGGCTAAAAACCCAGGGGCTGCAGTCTAAACAAATCTCATCTACAAAGACAGAAGCAAGTGACACCTCAAGAACAGGGCTGCTGAATTTATATGATGATCAATGAAAAATATGTTATCTCTTTATGATAATGAGCTGATGCTATATACAAAGTAGCAAACCTCCTCTCCTTTGGCCTGCTATGTGCATTTTGTTTCCTCTTCTGAGAACTACACCTTTCAGCCCAAAGTAGGATTTCCTGATACACTAAAAAATGATCAAACACTATCTGGTGGAGCACATGGTTATTATGCAGTGAACTACCTCCTGTTTTGTAGACACCTATGAAATAAACATTTAATGCTTAAAGACAAATACCACAAATAAGACTTTAGAGTCCTGCAAGGGCTTAAAATAGCAAAAGCCAAAATTAGTTTGAACAGCCCAAGAGTGACTAGAACAGGTGCACTAAAGAAGCTGAAGCAGGAAATCCTCAGTCCTGCTTAAAAATTGCTCTTTCAGCTTCTTGTAAGACAGACAGTTATGTAGTCACAAAAATAACTGTACAATTGGATTTCATCTGGGGAGGAAAGTAAGTTATTTTCCTAAAATGTAGTGGCAGGAAGTATTAAGACTAGTCTTGTAGTTTCATTGCATTAGGAATATCCATTAAATTTAGCATAAAGTTCTTGCTCAGAGGTTTTATTTAGGATCAGGCAAATACTGATCTATTTTTCTAATGTCATGGTAGTTATAACCCTTACTTAATGGATGTTAAGTGAACCAAGAAATGAGAGTTGAACAAATAGATGGGAATAGAATTACACCGGGTAACATCCAGCAGAACATAATGACTTTAGGTACAGGTAAAAATCAGGCTAAACACTGTGTGTTTCAAAACCTTTACCTGCAAAATGAAAAAAAATTACAATATATAAAACACTTGTGCCTGGGCTTGTACCTAGGGCAACACATGGACATACATCATGCAAACAAATGTCTGTTCACAAATGTACACAACAATAGTGTTTTCTGAAATTCAATCCCACTTTTTACCCAAATCCAAGACAATCTCAATTCAGCTCATACTCAAGGTGCAATAGCAGCATGCAACTGAGACTGAGAGCTGGAGGCTGCTAATGAGCAACTAGGAACAACAGTACTGGTTTGTGGCCAAGTGTCTCTGTGTACACTTGACACTGTGGTAACTACAAGGTAATTTGAAGGAGCCTAATTCTTGGTGAAACAAGGAAGCTTTACCTCCCATAAACGACGCGCAATGCCTGCAAACAGACAGCTGTTCTGGAGTAACTGATGAATGGTGACCCTGTCATTGTCATTTAGGCATGGTTTCACCTCGATAAAACTATGACTCTTTCTTACAAGTTCTGATTTTAAACTTTGATTTTTGAACATCAAAGAATAAGTACATAGAGAAACGCATTCATATATGTGGCATAAGAAGTATGTGCTGGTATTTTTCGAGTATAATGCCAGAAACAGGGATATCTAGAGAATCAATACTGTTCCTGTAACTAACTTACTGCACAGATGATCCTCAGTGACATTCTTAAGGATGCAACAGATTCACAGCAAATACGAAACATGAATTTGATTGCTAGAACAGCTGCTGCAAGCTTTGCTGCAAATAAAGTTGTTTAAAGGTCTTAATCCAAATTAAAGCTGATGTTTCATTCAGATGTGGGAAATGGATTTGATTTAGATACCTGGAAGGAAGAATTGAAAAACCCTTCTGTATCTATGTTCTTAATGCATTGCCATTGGAAACTTGGGAAAAGCAGTGTATGATTTTTATACAGCACTTTCAGATAAATCTAATGAAAGTTCTCAATAAATGTTATAGATTCATTTTTGCATTTCAAAAACATCCTTTCTCACTCTTTTCATGAGAATTCTTTTACCTGTATATTCCTTAAAAATATGTATTTAAATTTTTATGGATGATCTAAGGTAGATCTACTTTCAAAGCATAACATAACAATTTGTCATGATTACTAAGAAGCAATTGCAATTTCTGAGTAAAATAAAATAATTCCCCAATGCAACCTTAGAATTCTGAAGTCTTTCAATATTCAGAAGTGTTTGAGATAAAGAGAAGCACATTAATCAGGACAAGGGGAATTGGATTCAAACTGACAGGACAAGGGGGAATGGATTCAAACTAAAAGAGAGCAGGTTTAGATCAGATATGAGGAAGAAATTCTTTACTGTGAGGGTGGTGAGGCACTGGCACAGGTTGCCCAGAGCAGCTGTGGATGCTCCAGCCCTGGAGGTGTTCAAGGCCATGCTGAATGGAGCTCTGAGCAAGCCGGTGGAGTGGAAGGTGTCCCTGCCCATGGCATAGGGGTTGGAACTGGATGATCTTTACGGCCCCTTCCAACCCAAACCATTCTATGATTCTATGAATCTGGCTTCTAGTCTGTAACTGTGCACTCTTAGGTTAGTCACTGCATAATTCCAGCACACTACTGAGCCCAGTCCAGGAGCATTGCAGAACAGGCTACAGCTTTTCTGAAGCTGAAAGATGATACTACAAATTAAAAGACTCCAGGCAATGTTAACAGTCATTCTGTACTGTCTCTCCCTCAGACTTCTAGGCCAGTAGGCTACTCCTTTCTGCTTTAATTGTTTTAGCATTTTTACTCATTTCAGCATTTTAAAGAAATAAGCATGTAGGTAATTTATTTTGTAAGGGCAAATTCACAGACATGGAAGACATATTTGAAAAATACCCACATACATATATCTTAAAATATTGTTATATTACAAATTAATTCAGAAAATCTACCTGCCTTACTTATTGAAATGCTGGAAATAAGAATAATGCAATCAGGTTACTCCAAATGAGGCAGAGGGGCACTTCCCAGATGACCTGCAGTATCAGTAAACAAGCAATAGCTAATGCACAATATCTCATCACTTTTCCACCTTTCTTGATAACAGGCTGTAGGTTCATGGACCTTATCCTGATTATTTTAGAAGGTCAACAAACTTCTGTTTAGGTGTCCTACTTCATTTCTTAAGATGAAGACTCCCTCAACTCCAAAACATTACTTGGAATGCAGGAAAATTAAGGATGATTTCTGGTCACTTATTTTCACCAGAGCTGAACAAGAAACTCCAATTCAGGCTAAAATTCTGTACATGCTCACTCAACATTTACAAGCCTGACAGCTTTGTGTTACCCTACATAGGAGTCATATCTGTGAGATTTGAAAGGTTAAAGGGCTGATATCAGCTGTAATACAGATTTGCAGATTACAAAACCTCTGTGAACATCTACTCTGATCCACACAAAACAGAATATTTAAGCTTCCTGCAGAACGAGAGAGTATCATCTTGGCAAAATGCTCATTATTGAACTATTCAGTGATGGCTCCAAAACTTCAGCATCTGAAAACTGATGTTACATTTAATTAATTTCATTAAAAGAAACTTAAAACAATACTTTTATCACAACCTGTCTAGTTGTTGGATTGTCTTATGCACTTGCTTATTAGTTTGGGAAACTGTTTTATAAAGTGTACTTACAGAAAGTCATTTAATATGTAATCAATTTTTTTGCCTTAAATCTTTCATTGTAAGATGTTTTAATCATTCTTGCAGCTCTTTGTGGGACTCTCCCTGAAGTTCTTTTTTTCATTTTAAATCCCTGATTTACAGACGCTGTATTTTTATTCCAGAAGTGGTTGCACCCGTGCCAAAAGCAGATAGAACAGTCTCCCATGTACTCTTGCTTAATCTTTTCTGTTGATAAATCTAAGGATTATATGAACATCTCTGAACAACAGCAGCAGACTGGGAGCTCATGTTCAGTTGCCTCTCTTGCTCCTGATCCACCAACCTTTTTCAGTTCCAATCCTGCATGGACAGGCTCTGTAAACTGCCTTTCAATATACAATACTGTATTTTGCTACGTTGCATGTGGATAATTATACTTTCACCCTTCTTAGAAGCTGACTTGGATCAGCTTTTATTGGTCTTGATTATTTGCCAGTTTCCTGGTCTCTGTCTCATATAAACCTCACGGGCAATATTCTTATGTCCTTATGCATGTCATTAATAAGAATATGAATAGAGTAGTGGAATTAATGTAAAAATGACCTCATCAGAATAATAAAAAACAACGGATGTTTTTCTAATTACTTTCTGAGAACCATCAGTCAGTTTTAAAAAAATCCTTTTAATGTGACATTTAGCCTTTGCATTGCTCTGGCTTCCTTGTCAGAATATATAACTCTGTAAAAGCAAATCAAGTGACCTTCTTGACTGAGGATATGATTCTTCTGTCAGCCTGAGGATGTCAAACTTATTTGACAAGACCATTTACAATTCATGTTGGTCTGAAGTGTGGTGTCAATTATTCCAGTGTTTTGCCTGAGATTGGTGCTAGGCTGTCTGGACCCATTAAATGGGTTACTCTGTTTATCCTATCAATAATGACAGACTGTTTGTTTTCTAGAGGAGTACCAAATATGACTCAAAGAAACAATGTTTGTAAAAGAGAAATATTATGACAATTATCTAGATCTTTAAATTTGCTAAAGGTTAGCTTTCAGAACTACAGCTAATGCTTTCCTGAGTTCCCCTTGGCCCAGAAATCATAGAATCATCATCAGAGATTATGAATTCCATAACCTGGCTTTTTCTTCAACATGGAATAGAAATGCTACTAGTCATCATTCCTTTTCTGCATAATTATTGATAGTTTTATTGTTTCTAAATGATAATGAAAATAAGATTCACACTGATATGAATGTACAGCTTTAAAACTCCTCTATTTCCTGATGAATAGAAAAGTGAGATTTTTCACATCACTGTAAAACACAAGCATTGTTAGAAGCATGCATTTTAAACCAGTTTTTTAGAGCCCACAATCAACACAGTGAAGATGAAAATGGGAGATTGTCTGGACTGGGTCAGACCACAGGCCAGCAAGCTGTCTCCAACAGCAGTCAATAGCAGACCTTTGGGAAAGAGCATGTGTCTAACTACCAGTAATGCTCAATTATCTACAACTAACACTGTGGGACACCTTTTTTCTTGGGGGAAGGGGGGTCTAATAATCTACATACATGCAAACCACACCTCTATGTCTATACATGCACCCACTAATACACATATTAACACATATTTGTGTTTATGGATGAAATGGGGCCTCATGGTTCAGAGGTCTGACAATATCTGGCCATCAACTACCCCTTCCTAGCATACAAAAAAGGTAATATGAAGGACTGGATTATTTGTTATTGTCTGGTGTAGTGGGTTTTAGCTAGCAGACTGTATCCAGATGAAGATTTGACAGACATGAGCTTTGCCTGTCTTTGGGTTGTAAAGCTCAGCACTAGGAGGCAAAAGGGCAGTGAAAGCAAAAAGGTTTCCTGCAGTACTTACCGAGCTGTTTCCTACTGCTTTTTCCACCGCTGAATGTGACTCATTATTAGCTGGATTCTTTGGTGCAGCAAATTCTGATCTCTTAATTTTTGTGTCAGGTTTGTTTTCTTTGGCATCTGGCTTACCCCCAGATCTAGCAGGACTTGGCTTCTGAGAGGGTGGTATCCGTGCAAGTGTTGATGGTGATGGGTTGCCATATTCATCTTCTTCCCTGAGCTCATGTGGAAGTGCTGTTGGATTTGATTTTACATAATAGCCGTGGTAGTGACCATGCAGCTCCCCATTCTCTGTGCTGGTGGGATTGTGCTGGGCTGAAAACTTTGGCTGGTGTTTCACAGCTACTTCCTCCTTCACTGGTGCTTTTGCATATAAAGGCTTGTTAGTTGTGGGTGTTATATTCTCAATGGCTAAAAGCTTTTTGTCTTGACTGAGTCTTGCCCCGGAACTGGAGCTTTGCTTTTTCGGTTGTTTTGAAGGAGAAGCCTCAGGAGAAACAGAAGGACTATGCCTTGGACTTGCTTCTGGGGTTTGAGGGGGTGTAGTACCTTTCCGATAAAAGTGAGGTGACTCTTTTGGGGTAGGTGGCTTTTCCTGAACTTTTTCATCAGATTTGTCTTTCACATCCATTCCTTCTTGAAATTTTTGTTTGATATAATCAGGGCCTGAAAAACAGTGTTACAGAAATATTAATATTAGAACAAAAATAAGACTTTTCAGTAAAACTATTGCATTGGGATGTCAGACTAGACTGCCTTGGAAAAATGCTGGCAGGAGTACATGTTACCAAAAATTTAATGACATCCATAGTCATTTACTATAAATTGCTCAGTCATTGAACTTACTGCACGTTTTTGGTAATAGTTGGGACCACTTATTAACTTGTTTCAGTCACTCTGTGTCTTCAGGTTTGCGAAGGGTCACAGGACATAAATTGTCTCTGAGTGAAGCCTGAGTGACTGAAGACTAACCTTATGTGTCTAGCATTTGTTCTTCTTTGGAAAGGTATGTTTTGAGGTATGTTTTGCTTAATTACTCCAACTAATTGAAATTCTACCCTCATGATATAGTATCTGCTTGATATGGAAGTAATTAACCATCAGAATGAAACACCACTTCTGTTCTTACAGCCTGCAGGAAATAAGGCTTGAATCACATTTTTTTCCCTTTGTGCAAATGTCAGATTGTCTTATATACATATATATGCACCTTGAAGTCTCACACACTGGCTTTGTCTTCCTGACCCATTCATTCACCATGTGAAGACACAGGTTAACCACTATAATCAGTAACACAGACTAGGTAGGAAGGTAGGAAAACATTCTCTCACATTCACTAGAGAAATACTTACAGAGCAGCCAGTGTGAAGAATATCCTCTCCCCAAATCCTAGCTAAACACCCATAAGCACATTGACCACTAGGACTCACGTATCAAGGTGCATTTCTATACAGCTGCTAACATAAACACAAGCTGGCTGAGATGCTGTGCTCTGGGTTTTGGCTGTCAAATCTAGTTGTTTTATGTTAAAACTTGACCAAACACTCTGTTGAAGAAACAATATTGCTGTAAATCTGTCTGTATTGTGGGCAGCATTTTCTGCTTTTCTTACTAGAGGTCACATCCCAGAATCCAGGATCAGGTTCCCTAAGAAGTCAGAAGTTGAGGAGCTCTGTGAAGAAAGAACTGCAACAACTTTTCTCTATGTTCAAAAGTGGCTTCTGACAAATGCATTGCAACTGTTTCTCCACTTCTATCCTTTGCTAGCACTACAACCTTTACTATTCTGTGAGGCTTATCAGTGTTTTATGCCACAGAGAAATTCTGTGCGCAGAGAAGAATGTCTGTACATGTTTTTCTCCTTCAGAGTTTAAAGGAGGCTCTAGCTGTGTCAGGCAGATACAGTGTTTTTACAGATGCCAGAAGCATATGCATCACTACGCAGTGCGAAGATGAGAGGAAGGAAGAGCAGCATGAAGCTTTTGGAAGTTACTGAGTCATCTGGTAAGTAAGCATTGCTGAGAAGAAGAATTACTCGGCATGCAAGGTCTTTTGAGCAGGAAAATCACAACATTTTTGGCATCTCTGAAAACCAGGGGTGGAAACAGGGAGCTGTTAAGAAAGAAGGCTAGACACAGACAAGCCAGGATTTGTTCCCAAATGACATCTGAGGAGGAAGTTTTGAGGAGTTAAGCCTGCACAGAGGGAGAGAACAAGCGGCTTGGTTCTTACAGCTTTTTATAATCTTCCTGGTAAAAGGGAAAGGCAGCACAACACAGATTAAAAGTTTCCATAAATGAAGTTACAGGTACGATCACCAGTCACAAAATTCTCTGTCATGTAGGGGATTTCCTTCCAACTTGGCTGAGATACATAAAGTAATGCCAAGGGTTTTAACACACATAAACTTTTGTTTTCTCATCTTTTCACATTAGATATAATTAGGGGTGTAAAGAGAAAAGGATAACTAAAAGAGCCCTGCTTAACCTTTAAGCCCAAGCCACAGAGCTCTCAAATTGCTATTATTGTTTATTATGAATACATACACATGCACATTAACTTGGTCTTTATGATTGCTGTGGTGGAAGCATCCAATTGGAATACCATCTCTTCAGTCTTACAATGCTGCTTAAATGGCACCTGATCTTATCCCAAAAATTCACATCCTGTGACAGCTCTCTACTGTCCAATACTTGGAAAGATCTGACTTTTACTAATATCTGATGGCATTTGATGAACTGATGACATTTTCATAAGGAAAACATCTGGACCTCAGAAATGTGATCCGACTCTGCTTCTTTCCTATGACAAACTAAAAGCCTCCCAAGGCTGGCCAGAGAAACTCTCTCCTTACAAGACCTCCAAACTCTGCTGGAATTTGTGAAACAAGAAGGGAGCACATGGTCTCAGCTGCCCATGTTTCCCCAAGAGACTGGTAGAGTGACAAATGAAAAACTTAAACCAAACAAAAATATAATATTTAACTGAAACTTCCCAAAGTTAAGTTTCAACAAGTTAACAGTGCCTTGTTTTTACTGGATATTTGGCAATATTTGATGCTAAGTGACACTGAGCCCCACCAGAGAAAACTGTAGCCATGTGCATTCACGTAACATCTGAGGGCATCTGACCAGACATTCAGCAATTGCCTTAACATAGCACAGCAGCCCTCCCTCCTACACCCCAGTACTTCACATATGGCTATTAGAGATACATCCCTTGCCTCCAATCTTGCCAGGCAGGTCTTTACAACACTCAAATTCTTGGTTCTATGCTGAAATTAGCTTTGGAGATTGTTCAAGTACTTTTTAAATGTCTGTTCACTTGATTCAATACAATTGGATTATGCACCTGTCTGAACCAGTGAATCCAAGCAGCAAGAATTCAGTTCCTGCTCCCTTCTGAGGACTAAGAATACTTGTCAGGACTTACCTTGTTTCCTTTGTTAAAGGCATTAACTAACACTACAGACATGGGGAAGGGAGTCCTTTTCTTCAGCATAGGAACAGTCTATGGCAGGAGTTTAAAGGAATGAGGACCAAGAGAATTTGGAAAGAGTCACTAACATCTGATCCTGTAAGATTTCTTAGCTGGCTGATCTTAATAGGGAAGAGAATAGGACTTAAGGGTGGGAAGAAGGTAAAGTGGGGTCATCTGTCTAGGAAATAAACACAGAGAGTTTTTCAGTTTGCAGTTCAAGCAACCAGTAGATACAGTCCTAGACACAATACATCTGAGTGCCTAAGGAGAATCTGGTCTGGAAAGCAGAACCAAGAAATGTTATCTAACCAAATAAAGCTAAGTTTCCTTTGTGGATGAACCTGTGTGTTTTCTTATGGTGACATGCTGGCTGTGCTACCATCAGATCAAAACTGATGCACCATTGCTGGCTGAAGGTCAGCCAGGGGCGGTTTTGGCTCCCACAGCTGTTGTGATGCCAGTAGCTCCACAGTACCATTAAAATGTGAGTTAGCCAGCATCTGGGGGGAAGAGCCTCTGAAAACCAAAGGACTGGGTAGATGTGTGCAATGTATGTACGTAGAGTCTTACACTGTCTGATGGTCTGCTTGAACAGCATTCCATTGATGCCTGTGGAGTGAGGAAAGCTTAGGCTAGGTTGAAGACACATTCATAAATCTAGTTCTAAATCTGTTCTAAATCTAGAATTTCTTGTGAAGTTCTTGTGTATTGTGTCCTTCCTCCTGGAAGGGCTCCAGTAAGTGATGTGACAGCATGGCCAGCCCTGTAAATGAGAAGAGAAGGATGTCCTGGTTCTGCCACAGCATTTTTAAAGAGGTGACAGCCACATGCTTTTCCCCATGGCCCAGTGAGACATACATATTGGCAGCATTGGGCTGTTGCAGGGCTGTGGCTCAAGGAGTGTCTGAAAATGTCATCTTGCAGGACACTGTAAATGCAGCCACTGTTTCCCAAGAAGGCTAAGAAAGAACCTTGTTCCTGATCAGATCAGGATGAAACCTGAAGCTTGAGAGGAATTGCAGAATGCAAAGGATAGTGAGGAAAAAGGGGTGTGTGTGTGTGTATGTATCGATATACACACACACACACTCATGTATGAGCTTCAGCTCATACCTCTGCCTATTCAATCCAGCCAGTTTCACATATTTTGGCCTCTTTGCAAAAGAGAAAACATGAGGATACAGCAAAGGGTGGGACTGAATGAGAATGACCTCAGGAAGTGTCAAAGGCACTAGGATTCCCTACAGTACTGATCCTTCAAGAAGAAATTATGAATTCCATAGTTAATATACACAACTGAGTAACATGCCAGAAATCTTATATCCGTAATTTAATGAACTTTCACCTCATTTTATTATAACAATTTCTATGTTCTTAAAATTAACTTAATACTTTTTTAACTGTCAAAAAGGACTTCTGCAGTACTACAGGAACCAAATAAAATTCTGATGTTTTGTGGCAGGAGTGCAGGACAATGAATTTTCAAGTAACACAAGAACACTTCTGGAATTTTCTAATATTATGACAAAAATTGTTATTTACAGAATTAAAACTTACTTGAATATTGAAGTAAAAATAGTACTATGCAAACTAAACCACACTATATTCTAGCCCATTTTAGTTCTGTATAACAGTATTTTAAAAAAGAACTACTTCACTGCATGCCACTCTTTTGCAACTTTCCATGTATGCCTGTACAACCCTGGACATATTGCAACACCTTACTTGGTCCACATGTTAACAGACACTCAGGTTTAAGAGCTTGTCCCTGAATCACAGTTGTTTGTGAGAGGGAATTCTGTTCATATCAACAAGCAATTTCCACAGTAAACATTTTAACAGTGTCAGATGCATTCTTTCCTGGAGGGTATGTTGTGAGAAACTCCACTAGGACTCTGTTAGAAACAACTTTCTGAGAGCAGCAAAAGAGGTTTCAGAGAGCAGGTTTCACTGAGCTAAGCTTGAGACACTGCAATACAGATAACAGGCTCTCACCATACTATGACACAACATGCCTGTTCCTGCAGACCTGGACTCAGACGTGACTGAAGGAGGTTCCTGTAAGACCCTTTAGGAAAGCACAGGCTGTAGACTCCAGCAGCCTTGGCACCTGGATGTGTCCAGTCCCCTGATGGAGACCAGCTGTAAACTGGTTGGCTGCTGCACAAGAAGTGAGGATCCTCCTT